TTCAGCGACAAGAAATTATTCGCACTCGTGCCACAACCCGTATAGTGGAAACCCTTGCAAGTTTTCGATTGACTGTTATAATAGTAACGATTTGACATCGGTTGACACCATTTACCACGATCCAACGGTTCCGTACAAATGTCATGCACTGAAAAGTGTTCAATCCGAAGATAATCGCGAACGTTCCCAGCTTTCTGGAGAGGATTTTAGACTATTTTCCAAAGTCTACTTTATAGTGTTAAGATTTTTCTTCGGATTTTGGTAAGGTTTTCGGGAATTTGTTAGCTATTAACGAAAGAAAGGTGACTTACCATTGCCAGGTTCCTCACAAGTTATTTGGCATAACTCAAATGATTCGAAACGATTTGTATTTCCGGCACATCCACCCCACAGAAACTGATCACACGTTCCACGGCTCATATTGAAGAACCACATATAACGCAGTTGATTGCATGGACCCCAATCCGGATAATACGCACACTGGGCTAAAGGTAAGACAAGATCATATGGCTCGAAGTTGATATATTAAGAATATCAAACTTTTCATGGTGAAGATCAAACTGTTTTAACCGTACCAATAAAATCGCCTGAGTTATGTAGTCAAATTAAGAATAATGGGTGGATGATCTCGCAGAATGAGTACCGGCTGCAGAAAGTGGATCACTGATTCCGAATGGTTATCAAATCTAGCGAATCTAACGGTCGCAAATCCACATTCACAACTGAGTCCAGGCATTGGAGTTTATAATGCAGAAAGTGAATGGCTAATCGAGAAAACGTACGTGACTTGGGACGGATTAAGCCATCACAATGCGATTTGCATGAATAAAGGCTAGCAAAGCGATTTGCATTTCCACCGCATCCACTGAACGTGAACGTTTCACACATCAACTTCTCCGAATTATACCACCATCTCTGTTGCGAGCGATCCGTTCCTTTTGCACATTCGCCTTTTTCACGTGGTAAGAAACATACTGGAATTGGTCAAGTTGTACAATTTCCATTCATTTGATTTGTAATCGATAGGTATGAAACGCTCTCTAAGCACTTCGAAAGATGGACCTATGAGCAATCAGAATAATTTCGTCATGCTATTGCAATCGTAT